CCTCTAGGACGTCACTGCCAAGGGCAGGAGCACCCCTGACGGACGGAGGACGGGCAGGGTCAGAGACCAGAGCGGTAGCGTAGTCAAGGCGGCGGGTAGAGGCGAAGTCAGCGACAGCAGCGACAAGCGCGTCAAGGCGCGAGACAGGAACAGCAGGGTCGGTAACAAGAGAGGCAAGGACCCGAGGGACAAGGGGACGAGCAGCACGGAGGTAGTCAGAGAACGGAGGAGGTGCAACAGCAAGGGACGAGGGAGGAGGGGACGGGAGGAGGGGAGGACGAGACGAGCGGGAACGGAGCAACATAGGGTGGGTGGGCAGGACAGGAGAGACGGGACGAGCACGGGAGGGACGGCGAGCCCAAACGTGAGACGGAGGGGTAGGGTCAGGGGACAGCGGAGGAGACACAGGAGGGGAACGAGGAGGAAGACGGGCCGGAGACGAGTCCGGTGGCGGGAACACAGGACCGTAGACAGGAAGGTCAGCAGGCGGTGGGGGAGACACAGGCGCGCGGTCCGGGGAGGGAAGGCCGAGCAAGCGGAGAGCGGAGACCGGCGCCGACGGTTGCTGCGGCGGCGACGACGGCTGGGCCGGAACTCTCGGACCAGCACAGGCAGAACGACCGTTGGCAGAACACTCAACAGCAGCACCCCCAGAACCAACACCCCCAGAGCGAGAACCCCCTCCAACACCAGCGGCACCCCCAGAAGCCGCAGGACGAACACCCTCCTCCACACCAGCACCCCAAGGGGCCAAGAGCGGCGGCGGCAGTGGCGGCAACGGCTGCGGCGGTGGCGACAGCGGCGACGGCTGCGGCAGCGACAGCGGCGGCGGCGGCGACGGCTGCGGCGGCGACGACAGCAGCGACGGCTGCGGCAGCGACGGCGACGGCGGCGGCAGCGGGGTCGGCGACTGCGACAGTGGGGGCGGATGCACCGGGGAAGGGGGACGCGGCAAGGACGGACCGGGGGTACCACCAGAGTCAGCAGACTCCTCAACGGGGACAACTGACGGGAGGGGAGTGACGTGGGAGACACCAAACGGGGCAGGACGAGGCGGGAGAGGGGCAGGGGCTACCGGGGGAGAGCGATCAAGGAACAGGGGGGGGGCAACTAGGAGACCTCGGTGAGGGAAGCGGCGGTAGAAGGAGACGGACTCGTCAAAGGTGACGTCACGAGAGTGGAGGAAGCGGTGAGACGGCGGGTGGTAGGAAAGCCAGTCAGACGAGTCCAGGGGGAAACCGAGGAAGACACAGGGGACAGTGCGGGCAGTGAGATTGTCCGCGCCAGAGGCACGAACGTGAGCAAGGCAGCCCCAGACGTGGAACGCAGACGCATCACCGGGGGACCCGGTCCAAAGGAGGGTCGGCGAAACCTGCGGCCGCTGGGAGCGTGGCCACAGGTTAAGCTGGTGAGCAGCGTAGCGAACAGTGAACGGCCACAGAAAATGGGGGGCATCGGCATGGATCATGGAGGTACGGGCGACCTCCATGACCAAGCCGATGCGGCGCTCAGCAACCCCATTCTGCTGTGGCGAGTCCGGCAACGTGTACGACTGGGTGATGCCCTCCGCACGACAGAACTGTCCAAGCCGACCAGAGGCGAACTCGCCGCCACGGTCGGAGTGGAGACACAACACGGGGAGACCGCGGTGGAGACGCGCAGCCACAACCCACGGGAGAAGAACGTCGGGCACGTCGGCCTTCCGCTCCAGGGGAAACACCGTGGTGTAGTGCGTGTAGTCGTCGACGAGCACAAGGAAGTAGCGCTCACCGCGCGGTCCGGGGATGGGGGCAGGGCCCCAAACGTCCAGGTGCAGGGTCTGAAGGGGGGCAGTAGCAGGACGCATCGAGGAGGAGTGAGGAGCACGGCGGAGCCGACCCTCGACGCAAGGCGTGCACGGTGGCGCAGTCGAGGGAGGAAGGGCAGGGAGCGACGCGGGGAGACCTAAGACAAGACCGTGCTGGGACATGTGACGCAGACGCGGGAGAGCAGGGTGACCTAAGCGGTGGTGCCAGAGAAGGGAGGGGTGAGTGAGGGACCGACACGAGCAAGCTGCAGCGACCTGGGAGGACGCACCAACCGGGGGGGAAGTGGTGTCTAGGGTAAACAGACCGGACACCGGGTCCTGGGGGAACGTCGCAAGGGGGGAACCTAAGACAGCCTCAGAACAGACAGCGAACCGCTCATGCCCGGGGAACGTGGTGGTGACGCCGAGGTCCTGGAGACAGCCGACACCAACCAGGTTCCTGGAGAACGAGGGAACGTGGAGGCCAGTAAGGGAGCCCGAGGGAAATGCCGGACAGGGAAGGGACGTAGAACTGCGCGCGACGACCGGACCCGTAGAGGGGTCAGCGAGAGAGACAACAGCAGGTGCAGCAAGCGGCGTGAGCGTGGAACGGTCGCGGAAGAAGCAGGCAGAAGCACCGGAGTCGAGAGTGAAGGACAGCGACGCAGTGGAGGAGGCCGGGGACGGAGCCGCTGCAGCGACTAGACTAGGCAACCTAGGCAGTCCTACGCCTGACGCAGCAGGGGAGGCTAAGCTACATGGTGCAACACCTAAACTAGAGTACACAGGGTAATAAGATCCAGCAAAACTAGAAGCGTCAGAATACAAAGCATGCAAAGCAGCACCTAGCTGATCCATGTCTAACTCAAAGATCGGCACGCCCTGGCGGAGCAGGCTGTTCCAGTCGGGGAGGTCCGGGGCCGGGCCAAAGCGACGACGAAAGAGATCGTCGAGGCGGCGGAAACAGCGGGCGGTCGGGTGCGGGCGGCGGCACAGAGTGCCGCGAAGAGGCCCGGTCTGAAGCTGGTACTGGCAGGTGACAGCACCGGAGCCGCCGGTAGACGCCAAGCTGTGCGGGCCGCCACCACGGCCACTACCTCTGGAGGTGCCGGGCCAACCAGGCGGGAGACGGGCCCACTGCTGCGGCGACTGCTGCTGGGACGGTAACTGCTGCTGGGGCGGCGGCTGCGGCTGGGGCTGCTCCTGCTGCGGCTGGGGCTGCTGCTCCTGCCCACCAGTGGTAGTCCCCGCAGGCGGACTACCGTCACCACCACTACTGCCACCACCACCCCTACCCCCCTGGCGACCACGGCCACCGCGGCGCGAGCGCTGCTGCGGGTGGACCGCACCAGCCGTCTCGGTGAGAGGGGCCGCCGAGGCAACCGCACCCGAAACGTCAGTGAACGCACACTGGGAGGGGGCACAACCGTGAAAGATAGAAACTGCCGGCGCACCGCTCGACTGAGCGATAGTGCGCTGGCGAGTCTCGATCTCGGTGAGGGTGTCGACAAAGGCAGTGAGAGTGAGGTCACCCGGGTGCTGGCTAAGAAAGTGATCGCGAGCACTAGCGAGGCGGTCTGGCAGGCGCATGGCGATAAAATAGAGCGTCATGCAGAAAGGGGGGGGGGAGCGCAGTGAGCTGGGCGGCAGTGCTGGCAGTGCGATAGCGGGTCTCTAGGGCACGCAGGTGAGTGGCAAAGTCTGCGACGGTAGGGAAAGCTGCAAGGTTTGGGAAAAGCATAGGGAAGAGCAGGCGACCAGCACAAGCAGACGCGGGTGTGGAATAGCGGACAATAACAGCGTCTAAGTAAGCTTTGGCCGTCTCAATAGTAGCAAAGCGCGAGCGCTCAGAGACAGGGAGGGCGTGGCTAATGGCAACCTGAGCGACTGCATCGCGGGAGTCCCAGACCGCACGGGCAAGCGCAGCAGTAGAGAAAGTCTCACGGTCATCAGAGGAGGGATCAGCAGGGAGGGGAGCAGGTGCGGGGGGGCGGGGGAGCAAGCCGTCGACATGGACAACCAAAGAGTGGCCATCCTGGCGCTGACCTGTAAGGTGGCGGCGGAGATCGGAGAGCCAGGCGGCGAAGTCAACCGCATGGCCCTCCGCGTCCAGTCGGAGCACGAAGTCCGCCATCGTGCAGGGTCAGCGGCACAGCTCCACAGGAACACAGCGACGCAGGAACACAGCGACAGCCCCCTCCAGCACGGCGGCCGCGAAGCGCCTCAGCACGGGCGAGCAGAGGAGACGGAGCCCGAGGCGGCACGGCAGGACGAGCCGGGGCGAAGGGGCCAGGCAGGTGCGGTGGGACCAGGCAGGTGCTGGCAGGGCCAGGCATGCGCGGCGGGGCCAGGCAGGCGCGGCGGGGCCAGGCAGGAGCGGCGGGGCCAGGCAGGCGCGGCGGGGGCCAGGCAGGCGCGGCAGGGCCAGGGAGGCGCTGCGGGGCCACGCAGGCGCGGCGGGGCCAGGCAGGTGCGGCGGGGCCAGGCAGGCGCGACGGGGCCAGGCAGGCGCGACGGGGCCAGGCAGGGCGCGACGGGGCCAGGCATTGCGCGACGGGGCCAGGCGGGCGCGACGGAGCCAGGCAGGGTGCGACGAGGCCGAGCGGGCGCGACGAGGCCAGGCAGGGCGCGACTGGGCTAGGGTGGCGCGACGGGGCCTAGGAGGGGCGCGACGGGGCTAGGAGGCGCGACGGGGCCCAGGAGGGGTACGACGGGGCTAGGGTGGCGCGACGGGGCTAGGGTGGCGCGACAGAGCCCAGGAGCGGCGCGACAGGGCTAGGAGGCGCGACGGTGCCCAGGAGGGGCGCGACGGGGCTAGGGTGGCGCGACGGGGCTAGGGTGGCGCGACGTGGCCCAGGAGGGGGGGCGACGTGGCTAGGAGGCGCGACGGGGCTAGGAGGCGCGACGTGGCCTAGCTAGGGTACGGGCGGAAGCGGTAGGTGGGGGATGCTAACCTACGCGTGATACCATGTCAAAGTGAGAACGAATAATGACTAGAAGTGGAAACCTAGAACAAATACTAGTTGGTTGTACTCACTAGAAGCATACCTCAGTCTAGCCTATAACTTCTACATAGATAATATGTATTAGTTGACAGCAGGTCCATCGGACCTGCGAGAATGTGAAGGAGCTTGTCTCCTTTACAGCAAAACTCCTCTTCAAATCGAATCACAATCTGTTAATTTTTTATTCCTAAAAAAATATTCATCTTGTTAGAGTAGCGGGAAAAGACGTGACTAAGGGAAAATGTCAAGGGATACAAAACTAGGGCTGCACTCACTACGAACTAAACTAGCTAGGCTATGAACAAATATGACCTAGCTAAGCTACATAAATATATTTGTTGACAGATATAGGCTAGACAGGGTTGTGTTCTTAAATGGTACAACACCAACCTTATATCTCTCCTGTACTGCCTTGTTCTAGTCACTTGACTATCTGAGAGAGATGACCCATGTTACGGTTACCTCATTTACTTAGGCTGACACAAAGCTTCCACAAAAAGTTTCGCTATGATAGCTGGCTTGGTGGGTGTTGTTTTGCACTGTAGACAGAAGGCGTGCTTGTGCTCAATGCTGACTCCCCATACGCTAGCTCTGCGTGTCCAAGGAAATCGGAACAGACAGAGGTGGCGGGAAAAGGAGAGGGGGAGAAAGGGGAAATAATAAAAAACAAGGGTCAGCTGTGCGCATTGGTGTGAAGGTTGAATGCCTGAAACCCAATATGCCAGACCCTGAACCCTAAAGTATGAGGCGAATGTGAGGTGTGGATGAGGCAGGTGTCTGGTGTCTTTTGCCAGATCCCTTTTCTCCTCCCTAACCGTTGTCTTCTCACTAACCCTTTTCTCCTCCCTAATAGTTGTCTTCTCACTAACCCTTTTCTCCTCCCTAACCGTTGTCGTCTTCTCACTAACCCTTTTCTCCTCCCTAACCGTTGTCTCCTCACTAACCCTGTTCTCCTCGATAACCGTTGTCTCCTAACTAACCCTTTTCTCCTCAATAACCGTTGTCTCCTCACTAACCCTTTTCTCCTCCCTAACCGTTGTCTTCTTCTCACTAACCCTTTTCTCCTCCCTAACCGTTGTCTCCTCACTAACCCTTTTCTCCTCAATAAACGTTGTCTCCTAACTAACCCTTTTCTCCTCAATAAACGTTGTCTCCTAACTAACCCTTTTCTCCTCAATAACCGTTGTCTCCTCACTAACCCTTTTCTCCTCAGTCACCGTTGTCTCCTCACTAACCCTTCTCTCCTCAATAACCGTTGTCTCCTCACTAACCCTTCTCTCCTCAATAACCGCTGTCTCCTCACTAACCCTTTTCTCCTCAATAGCCATTGTCTCCTAACTAACCCTTTTCTCCTCAATAACCGTTGTCTCTTCACTAACCCTTTTCTCCTCAGGCACCGTTGCCTCCTCACTAACCCTTCTCTCCTCAATAACCGTTGTCTCCTCACTGACCCTTTTCTCCTCACGCCATTTCTCCCCCTTTTCCCCCTTTCTTCCCTTTGGATGATTTTCACCTGACCTTCATGGATTTCGACTGAGCTCCGTGGATTTCACCTGAGCTCTGTGATTTTCACCTGCAGGAGGAGCAGCTGGCGCCGGCCACACAGTGCAGCTTGACAAGGCGGGTGTTGGAGCGGCCATGGTAGTACCACCCGCCCACGAACGAATTAGCCCCCCGCTGGTGTGGGGTGGATGTGTGTGGTGGATGGGTGGATGGGGCAAGAAGGAAGGGGGTTGGGTTTAAGGAGCCGTGATAGTACCTACCACCTGCCCACAAACGAATTAGCACCCCGCTGGTGTGTGGTGGGCTGGAGGGTGGGAGAGAGGGAAGGGTGGGGATAAAGATGGCAGAGAGGAAGTGGTGGAGCGGCCGTGGTGGCACCACCTGCCCACGAACGCATTAGGCCCCTCGCTGGTGTGTGGTGGGTTGAGGGGTGAAAGAGGAAGGGGGCTGGGGGGAAGACGGGAGGAAGTGCTGGAGCGGCCGTGGCAGTACCACCCCCCACAAACGCATTGACTCCCCGCTGCTGTGTGGTGGGTTGATTGGTGGGAGAGGAAGGGGGTTGGGTTTAGGGGGGAAGGGATGCAAGTGAGGGAACAGCCCCGGTAGTACCACCTCCCCAGAAACGTGTCAACTCCCCGCTGGTGTTGTTGGAAAGGAAGGCCGCTGGTGTTGTTGAGTGGAAAGGTAGGGGATGGGGAGAAGGAGGGCGGCCACTGAAGGTATTTTTTAATGAGAATTTTCGAAGAAAAGCCCACAACTGAGGAGAAGGGGAGCAGCCCTTGCAGCACCAGTGTGTGGTGGGCTGACAGGTGTGAGAGACGAGGAGGGGGACGAGAAGAGTGGGATGGATGGTGAGACGTGAATGAGAGCACGGCGCACTGCCTTGGAGTCCATCCATGGTGAGCCCTATGTTGGAAAAAACGCAGATTTGGTTTTGCGTTTTGCGTTTTTACGCGAGTAAAATTCGTACGCTGCGTTTTGGGTGGAGTTTCGCCGAAAAACGCACAGGCTGACCACGGAAAAGAAGTTTTCCCGCGACAGGTCACGACTAGGCGAAGAAAACAGGGGTTTCGCGCATCGCCAATTCAACTGCGCGGAATTGGGGGCTGACGACAAAAGCGGCACATCGCAAACTCGAATTGAGTTTGTGGCTTGAACTCCCAACCCCGAAAGGCTTCCCCACCTCATTCAATCTCTCCATACGTTCCCAACCCAACCAATTGTGGTTTGAACTCCAATCCCAAAAAGCTTCCCCACCGCATTCAGTCTCACATCACCTCCCTTTCCCAAGCTTTCTGCTTTATGACGATTGACGACTCACCAGAGTCCTGACGCAGAGGAGCAGCACCTAGCCTAATTCTGCGTCGTAACTCTCTAGCAAAGCTCCCTCCCTTAGTTCGCGCGCCGTTGTTCTTAGCTCGCCAGGAGAAATGTTGACCCGTTCCTACCACTCCTCCTAGCGCGACAAATTCTTCTACCATTTTCCAACGTAGGGTGAGCCAGGCAAACTCAGATCGACAGCGGTTTTTTAGGCGCCTCAAAAGTCACCTCAGAAACTGAATCAGAGCACGGTGGGGTGGATAGCCTTAGAGTCGATGGCACGTGAGACAGATTCGAATCGCGAGTGGCTGAAAGTTGGCAGCACAAGGAGGCTGTAGCACAAGGAGGCTGTCGCACAGGGAGGCTGTAGCACAAGGAGGCTATAGCACAAGGAGGCTGCAGCACAAGGAGGCTGTAGCACAAGGAGGCTGCAGCACATAGGGAGGTCGCAGCACATAGGGAGGTCGCAGCACATAGGGAGGTTGCAGCACATAGGGAGGCATGCAGCAGAGGGGCGAAGGGGGCAGCTGGTAGGCTTGGCAGTCAGAGCTCGCAGCCAAGACTCACCTGAGCAGTCGCAGCTCGCAGCCAACACTCACCTGAGCAGTCGCAGCTCGCAGCCAAGACTCACCTGAGTAGGCGGGGGCGGGAGGGCAGCGAGCAGGAAGACGTCGGCAAAGAGCTTCTGATGCCATGTGGGGGGGCGGCCGCAGAAACTGGGGTTTGAGGGGGTTGAGGGGGTTGAGGGGTTTGAGGTTGAGGGGTTTGAGGGGGTTGGGAGGGAGGGGATTGCAGGGAAGGTGAGGAGTGGGTTGGATTGGGAGGTGAGGTGAGTCAAACCGAAGAGAGCTCCTGATGTTCCATGGGAGGACGACTGCTGAAACTGAGGAGGGGAGGAGGGGATGGGAAGAGAATGAAAAGAGGGATGCCACGCCACCACAGAAAGTGATGGGGGTTGGGATCTTGGGGTTTGGGGAGCGCGTGACGGGTTGGGCCTGCGGATCTTTGGGTTGGGTTTGCGGCTCAGAATCCCAACGTGTATGTGGGGGTGCGACAACAGGAAACTGCAAGCAGAGCAGAGCGCACAAGTGAGTGCTTCGCACATGACTTGTGCCTTACGCGCAGAAGACGTGGCCGTGGAAGAGCGAGACCACCCAGTGCGAGTGCCCATCCGCCTCCTTGGTCCCGAAGCACGTGCATGCTGCAGCTGTGTCACTGCCGTGCCTGGAGGTGGGAGAGGGGGGGTAAGAGGGGGTAAGATGGGGTACGAGAAAAGCAACATGGGATGGAATGGAGGTCAGAAAAAAGCACGTGCATGCTGCTGCCGTGTTGCTGCTGTGCCTGGTTGTGGGAGAGAGGGGAGGACGGGGGGAGATGCGAGCGCAGGAGGGAGACGTGGGGGAGACGTGCCAGTGTAGGTGAGGAGAGAACGGTAGAAAGCACGGTCAGGAAAGGCCAGAAGGGGAAAAGAGGGAGGAGAAGACAACTCAGGCCTCCAATGTGCGAAACATCCGCATCATGTTTCAAAGTTACTGGGCTTCCATACTACACCACGCCCAGCATGTTACCCTGTTACACCAGCTCTCGTCACTTATCCCACACCCCACTCACCGGTACACCACATCCAGCCTATCTTCTTCTACCAGTGACCGCCCGCCAGCTCCTCCTCCCCCCGCTCCTCCCCCTGCCGCTCCACTCCCCAGCCCTGCCCCCGCCGCCGTTGGTGATGTGTTGTGCGAGCCACCCCCCACCACCACGTTGCGCCGCACCATGGACCGCGCACTGATCAGCGACGCCCTCCCCGACCCAAATGCCTTCCCTCCCACTCCACCCGCTCCTCCCCCCACTCCCCCCACTCCCCCCACTCCCCCCGCTCCCCCCACTCCTCCCACTCCTCCTCCCCCAACTCCTCCCACTCCGCCCACTCCTCCGACCATTGCTCCTACCATTCCTGCGAACCCTCCCACCATCCCACTCCCCGCCGCCCCACTCCCTACCACCCCAGGCCGAACCTCCCTGATCTCCTCGGTGTCCGAGCTCGAAGTGTACCCGGCAGCGAGGGCCGCAGCAGCGGGGTTCAGAATGCCGGAAGCAGCGGCGGCGGCGGCGGCGACGGCGGCAGCGGCGGCAGCCTTGCGCTCGTCTTTCCAGGGGAGGTGGTGCCAGGGCGAGCCGGGCGGCAGGGAGAGGCCGAGGAAGTCCAGCTCGGAGCGCAGGCGGAAGAAATCCTCGTCGTTCATCCAGGGGAGGGCCTCGAGGCTGCTTGGCGGGAGCGGGGGTGGGGGGGAGTGTGGGGTTGAGGGAACAGCAGGGTAATGGGCAGGGAGACACAGAGAAAGTTGAGCTCCAAGCGAGCGCAGGCGGATGCACTCCTGTGGTACACCTGTGTGCCGTACCTCTGGTACACCTGTGTGCCGTACCTCTGATGCCACACCTCGGTAGCTGCCATACCTCAGTAGCTGCCACACCTCCGTAGCTGGCGTACCTCAGTAGCTACCACACCTCCGTGGCTGGCGTACCTCTGGTACTGGGCGACAGTGAGCACGCGGGAGAAGGTGCTCTCATCGCAGTCTAGCATGAATGACACCTCCTCCTCCTCCTCTGGGGGGTCCTCGACCTGCTGGAGCGGAGGTGAGGGGGAAGGAGAGGGGGGAGGTGACTTTAGAGCCGACTCAGAAGCCAGCATAAACGACACCTTCTCCTCCCCCTCCTCCTCCTCCTCCTCCTCCTCCTCCTCCTCCTCCTCCTCCTCCTCCTCCTCCTCCTCCTCCTCCTCCTCCTCCTCCTCCTCCTCCTCCTCCTCCTCCTCCTCCTCCTCCTCCTCCTCCTCCTCCTCCTCCTCCTCCTCCTCCTTCTCCTCCTCCCCCTCAGGGGAGTCCTCTACCTGCTGGGGCAGAGACCGCGCACTGAGAGGGGGAAACGTTACGGGTGGAAGGCGGGGGGGAGGGGGAGACAGGGGGACAGGGGGAAGAGGGTGAAGAAATGAGGGGGCAGCACAGAGAGAGGGGGACTGGGGATGGGGAGCTTGTGGGGAGTGGGGGGTAATTGGGGGGAGCGGATTGTTGTTTGGAGAGAGAAGAGAGAGAGGGGGGGGGGGGGAGAGGAGGAGTTTGATAAGGGGGTACAGATATTAGTGACTGTGGAAATTGGGGGTATGTTCTGCTCTTCTGGCCTTCTGAGGTGGAGCTAACAGCGATGATGCGTGCAAAGAGGAGGAATGCGGGAAGGCATGGGGGGTTTCTGCTGCGCTCCCCGCCTTGTGAGTGGAGAGAACAGCGATACTGCGTGCAAGGAGATGGAATGCGGGGAGGCAGCTCCAGTAGCGAAACACACCATGCAAACGCTTGGCCGAGCCTGATTGACTAAGGCTTTCATGCCATGCCACGCCATATCATGACATGCCATGCCATGCCATGCCATGCCATGCCATGCCATGCCATGCCATGCTGTGCCTTGCCATGCTGTGCCACGCCATGCTGTGCCACGCCATGCTGTGCCATGCCACGCCATGCTGTGCCATGGAACGCAGTACTACCACATCATAACAAAACAATGGCATACGACGTATTGTCCCATGCCGGATGGCACGCCACGTCATCCCTGCCACGTCACCTGCAGCTTGCCGTCGGGCGCATGGGGCGCGTTGGCCTCCAGCTGCTTGCGGAAGAAGGGGATCTTCAAGAGCAGCGCCTTGGTCACTCGGAACAGTTGCATCTGGGTAACGGGAGAGAGACAGCAGGACACGTGTGGTGAAAGGAAAGGAGACAAGGGGGTGGATTAGCAGAGGAGGTAGCAGGGGGGAGGTAGCAGGGGGGAGGTAGCGGGGGGGAGGTAGCAGGGGGGAGGTAGCAGGGGGGAGGTAGCAGGGGGGAGGTAGCAGGGGGGAGGTAGCAGGGGGGAGGTAGCAGGGGGGAGGTAGCAGGGGGGAGGTAGCAGGGGGAGGTAGCAGGAGGGAGGTAGCAGGGGGGAGGGAGGTAGCAGGGGGGAGGGAGGTAGCAGGGGGGAGTAGCAGAGGGGAGGTAGCAGGAGGGAGGATGGAAAGTCACGTGGGAAAGACGTTGGGGAGAAACAAACGGAGGAGGCGCAATATGGGGACAGGGCGGAGGAAAATGGGAAGGGAAGGGAGTGACAGCAGCATGGTCTTTGAGGGGGGAAAGGGCAACAGGGTTACAAACAAGGCTGTGCTTGGCAAGGCAATTGCACCTGTTTCGATCAAAACAATCAACTTGATGAAGAGTTTCCGATCGCCTTGTTGTTTCTTTTTGTTTTTTAAGCGTTCATTTTTCCCCCTTTCTCTTTCCTGTGGAGTGCTCTATTTAAAGTACATTCAAACGAATGAATCCAACGCACCTTGGGCCCCACGTACACCGCGATCCCGCTCACTCCGACACTTTCCGCGAAGCTCCCTGCGGATCGCGTCGGCGTCAGCATCGTGTTCAGATGTGCTATTAACGAAGGCGCTGATAACGGGCGCGGCAACCCCCCTCCCGGCCCCCCAAGGTGATGATAACCCATGAGCCCCCCAGTACTAGAACGACTGAACCTCCCCTCCTCCTCGCCCCCCTCGTCTTCGAACCCCTCCGGGAGTTTCACGTCACTGGCGAAAGACACCACGCGATTTGAGCTCGGCGAAAGTAACAGCCCTCGCTTGGCCCGCGCGTCGTAGCTCGTGCTAACCCGCATCGGCCGCGGCCCGTCCCCCCCCGCGCCGCCTTTAACGCGCTCGTAGTGCGGCGCCGTCGTGGATCGCTGCACGCGCTGCAACGCCGGTGCCTCGTCCTCTTCCTCCTCCACCTCCCGCTCCGCCTCCCGCTCCCGCTCCGCCTCCCGCTCCCGCTCCCCCTCCCCCTCACCCTCCCCCTCACCCTCCCCCTCCCGCTCTCCACCGCTCGCGTTCCCCTCTTCGCCGTTCATATCCTCAGCGTCCCTCCCCTGTTCCGCCACCCGCTTCTTCTTCGCAGCCGCGCCCTTGCGCGCGGAAGGCGCGGAAGAGGCGGCGGCGGAAGGTGGTTCCGCGGGTGCTGCTACTAATTCCGCTGCATCGCCTGCGACATCGCCTGCGCCGTCGCCTGCGCCGTCGTCCGACGCCATCGTGACGGCGGAGGCGCTCGACATCGACTCCGCGGACGAGTTCTTGTTGTGGCGCGCGCGCCTGGCGGAAGGCTGCGCGCTGCTACGGGCGGACTGCTCGCGCGTGCTAGACTGGTCCAAGGCGTTAGTAGGCTGTTCGGGGGACGAGGAAGAGGCGTTGGAGCGAGGCGACTTGGGCACGCGGACTTTAACTGGCGGCGACTGGCGCGACGCGCGCGACGACGCGGTGGAAGACGTTCTCCGCGGCTCCTTGGTTTTGACGGGCTTGGGGGAGCGGCCCGCGCCGACGCTGCCGCTTTCGCTTGGAGGGCTGGGATTGGCGGAGAGACCGGCCGCCGGCGGCGCTTCTCCGTTAAGTTCTAACGCTGCGTGTTTTGACGGGAATTGCGGAGAGAGCAGAGAAGGAAAGGGGAAATGGAGAAAGCGGGAAATGAAGGGAAAGGGATTGAAGGGTTGCACGCCTGGCGCGGAGGAGGTGAAGGGTTCGAAGCCGGGGAAAAGGGGAAAAGAGGGAAAGAAAAGCAGGGGTATTAGCAGGAATGAGGCATGGGAAGCAGGCACGGAAGCAGGTTCGGGAAGCAGGTACGGGAAGCAGGTACGGGAAGCAGATACGGGAAGCAGGTACGGAAAGCGAGGACGGGAAGGCGGACGGGCGAAGAAATAAGGTTGGAGCGAAGCATAAGGGAGAATGGAGAACACGCAGGATGCTAGAACTAGAGCGGAAGGGTGGGAAAGGCGGGCGTAAGGGTCTATCATACCCGCGTGACCGATGGTGACTGGCATTGCGCCTGACGCTTTAGTAAATGGGCGACGCACGGGGCACTGTCTGCCGCGAGAGTGAAGGCAAAATACTGGTGAAGGACAATCTAACTTAAAACCGGCGCTTTCTTAGCTCTAGCTGTACATGGCAGGCTCGCCAGTCATCCACACGCCGAACGCAGCGTCCGTTGCGAATGCGGCGTGTTCCCGCCAATCTCTGGAGTCGCTAGGACATGCCCGTATTATTGTTTCGGTTCTGCCGAATTTCTAGTACAATTTTTGTGATGCAACGCGGACCTCTGCTACTGTTACGTGGTGTGCTGCGGGTTCAAAGTTAGGGGGAGTTCTCACTCTCGGCACACCTTAGGACCACTGCTGAATCTTGAGATAGGACCACTTCGACAGAGATGGCGCGAAAGGTTCGTTGTACGGATTCTAGGACCACTATTTGCCGTGGCTGACATCGAGCGACTACGATAGCAGGCAGAAAAGGACAAGTGTGTGGCTTTAGCCAACCAATTACGCAATTACGTATCCGCAGATGGGTCTGGCTTGGCAGCATCCGATAGCATCAGATACACATGGTGCCCGCCGGAGGCCCAGCTCAATACGTGGCCCAATCAGGAACCATCGCCCATTAGCGTTGTCACACGGGCAACGGCCCACTCAACGTGGGCCGTGAACAGAGCCAGCAGTGCAGCGTCATCATGACAGCAGTGACAAACATGTGGCACAAGACGAAAGATGTGCGCCGCAACCGTTTTCGCCACAAACTTCCAGCAGCGCTCGGAATAGCGCTCCGGCGAAGGTCAGCGAGCCTTTCGTTGAGCTCGCAAAATTACACACGCCTCGCTGGGTTTGTTTGTGGCTTGAGCGTCGCCGCACGAAACCGAACGCTGACTTGGCAGCGAAATGGAGTCACGATGTCCCGATGCCAGGGGTCGTTCTCAATATCCGAAAGCCAACCCAAGAACAGACTCGAAAACAAATTTCCACAATCCACGCAGTAGTTATTGTTGCGACACGAACCTTCTGTTCGTAATGTAAGAAATATTTAGAACACGCCCGTAATATTTGGAGCTGAAATGCGACTCCAACACCTCATCACTCTGAGTATAAAAGGGAGCAAACCAAACCAGAAAAAATCACTCAACATCTCACCCGCCAACCACCACTCTGGTGCTACACCAGAGAAACTCAATCTCGCTTGAAAGCGCCGAAACTTAACATAGGGTAACTAAGTGAACAATGGCTCGCCAAAATATGCCACTCAAACCTACCCCGCAAAACATCAAAATGGTAACCTTCGTGCCCGTGCGAAAGGCCCACATGCCCGTGACGATGCCGTGCGAAACCCGTGCGCGTTTTTGTCTACCGGCACCCTGAAAAGTTGTGTTCCTCTGTCAGGCTCAAGGTGTACAAGCACGGAGACACGGTGGAAAGGGGTGGGGAAGGGGAAAGGGAGGGAAGCAAATGAGGGAAGGGAAGTGAGGGAAGGGGGGAGAGTAGGGAAACGGCAGCAAAAGCAGGCTGGGGAGCAAGTCGTCGTCCACACAAAGCGCGTGCTGTGCGCAAGCGACAGAGTCGTATTGTCTTGTACAGTAACCCGACGCGGAGTAAGTCGTCGATTCGATAGAATTGTTCGTTGAGAAGCGCCAACTTGATCGCATGCGACGAGCTGGACCACACAACATCGCAATCTGGGTCAGCTTGCAGAGGAGGGAGGGACCCCGCCTCGGGGATGCTCGTCTAAACTTCAGATAAAGTAATTGCATTACACTTTCTTATAATAAAATCTAAGACGTGAACGCAATTTCATCCTCACCCTCAGCTCTCCCATCAAGCACGCAATGTAATGGCTTCATTGGTGTCAATAATATTGCGCCCAAAAAAAATGGTTCCCAATAACGGTAGAATTTGTCGAGAGACCCGCTGGGGTTGCCCTTGAGAAGATCCTCAAGGAAGGGTCACAGGTGCAGAGCATGTGGGGTTGTGGGAGCACTAACCCGCTACGTAACGTGCCCTTTTAACTCAGTGGTTAGTGAATGATTTTCTAGCATGGTATCAGAGCGTGGATGACTCGGGTTCAATTCCCAGTGCTAGCATTGCAGAGGTGCTCGTGTCCTCCGCCTATCCCAGCGAGAAGGATGTCGAGAGACCCGTTGGGGTTGTCCTTGAGAAGATCCTCGGGGAAGGGCCACAAGTGCAGAGCCTGGGGGGTTGTGGGCGCACTTGTCAACATATATTTGTATATGTAATAGGCTAGATAGGTGCATGCTCATAGAGAGTACAACTCCTTAGGACAAAACCACCCTGTACTACTCATTCTAGTTCATTGCGTTACTCTAAGATGGTATCACGCTAGGTTAGGTCCCCGCTTACGCTTCCGACCCTAGCCCTAGCCCGTGTCCTAGCCATGTCCTAGGCGTGCCCTAGCCCTAGCCGCGCCCACGCACTAGATCTGTCCGTGCCGACCCCGTCAGTTCGCGCCGGCCCCGCCGCTTCGCAATGGCCCCGTCAGTTTGCGCCGGCCTTGCTAGTTCGCACCAGCCCCATCACTTTGCGCTGGCCCCGCTAGTTCGCGCGGCCCCGTCAGTTTGCGCCGGCCCCACTAGTTCGCGCCGGCCCCGCTAGTTCGCACCGGCCCCGTCACTTAGCCCTGGCCCTGTCAGTTTGCGTCGGCCCCGCCGCTTCGCGCTGGCCCCGCTAGTTCGCGTTTGCCCAGTCGCTTCGCGCCGGCCCCCGTCAGTTCGTGCCGACCCCGCTAGTTCGCGCCGGCCCCGTCGCTTCGCGCTGGCCCTGTCACTTCGCGCTGGCCCCGTCAGTTCATGCCGACCCCGCTAGTTCACGCCGACCCCGTCAGTTCGAGCCGGCCCCGCTAGTTTGCGCTGGCCCCGTCAATTCACGCTGGCCCCGCTAGTCCGCGTCGGCCCTGCTAGCCCGTTCCAGCCCCGCCACTTCGCGCCGGCCTCGCTAGTTCGTGCTGGCCCATATTCGCACCGGCCCCCGTTCGAGTCGGCCCTTGTTCACGCCGGCCCCTTTTCCCGCCGTGCCGTGGTGCCGCCGTGCAGCCGTGCCGCCGTGTCGCCTTGCCGCCGGGCCGCTGTGTCGCGGTATCGTTGTCAGCTGTTGCGACCATATTGATGGCGGGCGCTGTGCTCCGCCTAGACGCGGAGGGTCGGGCGATTGACTTTGAGGCGTGGCTCGTCGACCTCCGCTGTCAGCTCACAGGTCAGCACTAGGACGGCTACTCCCTGGCCGTCCATGTCGACGTTAAGCTTTCCTGCCCCGCCACGCTTGCTGCTCTCCCTGGCGCTCCCACGTCTGCTGAGCGTGAGGCCTTTGTCACTGCTGAGCTTACCCGTGCTATCTGGGAGTTGCGCTACGCGGTAGCGCAGCTTGCTATTAGTCACGCCCTCCCCCTGTCTGAGCGTCCCCGCTTTACAGCTGTAGCGAATGCGAAGGAATACTTAGATGCATTCATCGCGTGCTATTCCACTCCCTCCTCCGCCTCAGCCGGCTGTCTGATCCTCCCCATGCTGTTCCCGGATCTTGCGTCCTTCCCCGCAGTCGCTGACCTTGCCACTCATCTGCGCGCACTTGAGACTAGGTACCGCAATGCTAGCACTGAGGCCCAGCTCACTGCATTCCCTCCTTCCCTCTGTGCTTTTCTTTGCCTCATTGACACCCGCATTCTTGACCGCCTTCCTACTGCCCGCGACCACTTCCTTAGTCAGCACCCAGGTGTCCTCACCCTTCCTTCCTTTGTCACTGCCCTATCCGCGATAAAGACCCGTCAGCTCACTATTGCTCAGTCTAGAGGTACGGCGGCGGTCCCTATCTTCAAGGGCTGTGCTCCCTCCCAGTGCACTTACTCTGACGTCTCTGCCACTGTTGCTGAGACGCCCCCTGCTGCTGAGACCGTTGCGGCGGCCTTGGCGCAGGCTCGTCAGGGTAGGGGACGTCGGGCTCGAGGGGAGCGTGGCGTTGGGAGGGGTGGTGGGGGTGGCGGAGGTGGCGGAGGTGGTGGAGGGGACGGTGGTTCGGATGAGGGGACCGGAGCTGATGCCCCGTGCAGCAGTAGGAGTAGCAGCAGCAGCATTCGCAGCAGCACCTGCAGCCGCCGTGGGGTCCCCCGCCGCCGTGGTGGCCCGGCAGCGCTGGTGGTGGTCGTCGTAGTGGTGGGCCGCGCAGCTCGGTGTCTGGTGGCGGCCCCAGTATGGTCACCTGCCAGTACCAGCTTCAGTCAGGCCCACGCCACGGCATCGTATGCGACCGTCCCAGTCACACCGCTGCCCGCTACTACCGCCGCTTGGACGACCTCTTTCGTCTCCGTTTCGTCCCCGCATCGGACCCCCCCGACTGGAACAGCCTAGTGCATCGCCGTGTGCGTGTCTTTGAGCTGGATTTGGATCAGATTACGTCTTCTATGTCTGTCATGTATGCTGATGGCTCTAGTGTTACTGGAACCTATTACCCTGTGTTGCCTAGTGTAGGTCTGTCCACTGTGTGTAGCCTAGGTTCCCCTGCTGCGTCAGGCGTAGAACCCTCTGCCTTGTTTAGTCGCGGCTCCACTCTAGCTAATCCGTCTTCGGACGCCACCGCCGTGCTCTCCTTCACGCTAGACTCCTGTGCGTTTGCCTGCTTCCTTTGCGACCATACTGCGCTCGCACCACTTGCCGCCCCTGCCGCTGTAGCGCTTGTTGACCCCTCCTCAGGTCCGGTAGTTGCACCTAGCTCCACTACCCTTCCATGTCCGGCGGTTCCCTCGGACTCCCTTACAGGCATGCACATCCCGTCGTTCTCCAAGAACTTAGTTGGTATTGGCTGTCTTCAGGACCTCAGCATCACAACTACGTTTCCTGGACATGAGCAGTACACGTGCACCGAGGCCGCCACTGGTGCCCGTCTGGCTTGTTCACTCTAGACACCCCATCCCCCCATATGGTCGTGCCCTTCCAGGTCACTGCGGCTTGCTCGTGTCGGTCGCTAATCCAACCGTCGCTACTGTGGCATCACCGTTTCGATCACCCCGCACTTCCACGACTGCATTACATGTCCCAGCACGGTCTTGTCTTAGGTCTCCCTGTGTCGCTCCCTGCCCTCCTTCCCTCGCCTGCGCCGCCCAGCACGCCCTGCGTCGAGGGCCGGCTGCGCCGCGCCCCTCACTCCTCCTCGCTCCCCCCCCACCACTGCGCCACTCCGGAACCTCCACTTGGACGTCTGGGGCCTAGCCCCTGTCCATGGGCCATGTTGAGAGCGCTACTTTCTGGTGCTCGTCGAAGACTACACGCACTGCACCACGGTGTTTCCCCTGGAGCGGAAGGCCGACGTGCCCGATGTTTTTATCTTGTGGGTCATAGCTGCGCAAGTCCACCGCGGCCTCCCTATGCTGCGTCTTCACT